TCTCTCTCTCTCTCTCTCTCTCTCTCTCTCTCTCTCTCTCTCTCTCCTCTCCTCTCTCTCTCTCTCTCCTCTCCCTCTCCCTCTCCTCTCTCTCTCTCTCTCTCTCTCTCTCTCTCTCTCTCTCTCTCTCTCTCTCTCTCTCTCTCTCTCTCTCTCTCTCTCTCTCTCTCTCTCTCTCTCTCTCTCTCTCTCTCTCTCTCTCTCTCTCTCTCTCTCTCTCTCTCTCTCTCTCTCTCTCTCTCTCTCTCTCTCTCTCTCTCTCTCTCTCTCTCTCTCTCTCTCTCTCTCTCTCTCTCTCTCTCTCTCTCTCTCTCTCTCTCTCTCACACTATTTATCTGTCTAGTTATGGTATTTCACTGTAATATTTGTTGCTAATTATTCAGTTCATTCATTATTTTTGTTAGATACTCCTCATACATTTTGTAAGTAATGATTCATTTTCTGTAAATATGTTCAGCATATCACTTTATCTGTCTATTTTGTGCAAAACAAAAACAAAAAAAGGTATCAATCACATTATTATCATGTTTATTCATGGTCATTGTGCTTGTAAATGTATCCTTTTTCCCCTTTTCCTGTCCGTGCTCCTGTATGTTGTACATATAACAAATTTATTAGTTTTCTGTCATGTTGCAAAACTTGGAAGAATTGACTGCATGTTTGTTTTTAAAGTCTGTTGCTTTTATCATTAACTTATTTTACAGATGTGAAGTGTTATGTCAGCAGAGCAGGATATATATTTACTTGATGTTGCATGAAATCATATGGTTTTAACATTTCGTCCTATTCTGTATTACAGCAGCAACATATTGAATGTTAGTGATTTTGTTTGTTGATGACAGGGTATATTTCAGTTAAGGGGATTGTCGATTTTTCGATTTTTAAAATTTTTCTTGCCAATTTTGGTAAAACTCATACCCTTTTATTTAGACCCTAGCCTGATCCCTCTGGTATATTTTCTTGAAATAACCTGAACAATTTTTGAATTATAGTCCAAAAAACAAAAAAATCACTGAAGAAAAAAAAAAAAAACTTTTTCAAAAAATAAAAAGTAAAATCACAAAGAAAAAGCCCTATTTATCTGCAAAAAGAGCCACACTATGTTTATTTAGGAGTAAATTTGCATCCTGTATGCATCTTGGAAAAAAATAAGTATACTTTGGGAATAACGGTCATACCTGAGGTGTGTCTTAGCCAAACTTATATTCCATAAAATTTTGATGGTGATCCAGATCCTTTGGCAATCCTACCCCCCATTTGGGGAGGGAGTTTGCATTTTCAAAATATTTTGCTCATAGATGAGACTAACTAAATATGATGAAAACATAAAGAAAAGAAAATACTCCAAATGAAGGGCATATCATGTTTATTTATTTGTAGGAAAAATTTCTTTGTTATTGCTTTTTGGACGCTTGCCAGATTTTTAAGATTATTCCAAAAAATTGAAGGTTGGTCTCATCTTATGTGAAATTAAATAAGCTTGCAGAAAATATACTCATTTTTTTATTATCTCTAATTATTGCATCACAACTGCCGCTTTTCTAAGGTAAAGTGAAAAAAATATTTCGGTAGACATCGAAAAGGAAATCGGAGGCCTTGAAACTCCTTGAAAATGCATTTGACCCGATTTTGGCAAGATGGGCGAAAAACGCCGAAAAATTACTAGACGATCCCCTTAAGCATTGTGTAATGATTGGTAATTTATTTTGTGTCTGTGTATGTGTGTGTTTCATTTCTTGCATTAGATTTAAGGTATATGGTAAGTTAGATATTGATGAGGTTTAGGACACTTTTCATTTGTGGTTCAGACAAACATGCACAACACACACACACACACCACACACACACACACACACACACACACACACACACACACACACACACACACACACACACACACACACACACACACACACACACACACACACCACTCACTCACTCACTCACTCACTCACTCACTCGCACATACACACACACATAAAAAAAATATATATATACATGATCAATGTGTGAGAAAAGTTTTCCTTGGAATTTTTGCACGTGGTTGCATGGTTGACATTATCCACAGTACATTCTTTTAAGTAGAAAACTGAATTTCAGGGATTTCTCATTCCCTAGAAGGGCTCAATCTGGTAACATTGTAGAGGATTTTTACTCATTTACACCTCCAATTTTGTTCATGGAATCACCCAAGAAATGCGGGGAAAAAATAACTCAAGTGACATCGCTTTATTCCGAATGCCTGTGTTCTTCCAGAGCTCCAGAAGCAAAGATGACAAGGAGAAGTCCAGTAGAAAGAGTAAGGATGATAAAGATGAGGCAAAGAAGACTAGCAAGAGCAGTAAAGAGAAGAGTAGCAAGGAGGAGAAGGACGATAAAAGTAAGAGGAAATCCAAAAGTGGGGATGACTCATCGGAGAAACCAAAGTCCTCGAAGTCAAGGTTAGTGTGTGTGTGTTTGTTTGTCTGTCTGTCTGTGTCTATGTGTCTTTGTGCCTCTG